CTGAAGGAGGGTCTAGGCCCGAAACGTCAGCCTTCCTGCTCCTCTGATGCTGCTTGGCCTGCTGTGTTCATCCAGCTTTACACCTTGTTATCTTAGGATATTTGTAGTGATTTAATTTGAATTTGAATTCGAACAGATCCTCCCCCACTTTGCCCTTTAATGGCAAGAATCAATGTTCCTCACAAACAACAGGTAGTGAAGTGTCTGTAAATACAGATAGTGAATATTGTTGAAGTGTGTACGTGGCTTCTGTTTGTAAGAGTGTATAGCTGTGTGCGGTGTAAAATTTGTCCATGTGGTTACACTGGCAGATGTGCCTTGTACTGGTAATTTCCTGACTTTTCTATCCATTGACCTATTTGATAAAGAAACAGATCAATATTGCTTCAGATATTGGCAGAATTCCAACTCTTTCATCAAATGGTGCAATACAATTTTAATTATCCACCTGAAAAGACAGACTGAATCTCTACTTATTGACTTTTGTGAAGACAAAGATACAGCAAACATTTACTCACTCCTGATAAAACAATACTATCTATTCCCGTATCCTTTTTGAACAGCTGCTTTTGTAGAATTTTGGTTTATTCATTCATAAGGTGATGTATCACTGGATAGGCCAGCATTTATTCCCCATCTCTAATTGCCCAGAAGGCAGTTAAGAGTCAATCATATTGTTATGGGTCTCAAGTCATTAGTAGGCCAGACAAGATTTTTTGGTCATCTATTAGACTTTTAATTGAATTCAAATTCCGCCATCTACCATGGCAGGATTTGAACCCCAATCCCCAGAACATTACCTGAGTCTCTGATTTAACAGTCCAGTGATAATACCACTAGGTTATCGCCAAATGCAACAATTTAAGTTCTGGTTGGTACAAGGCAACTTGATTGACACAAACTTAAAGCTCCTCCTAAAAGAAAATTACAGTTGTCATCTGTGCTTTGTTTCCATGTCATTCTTCTAAAGAAGATAGAACAGTACAGCACAGTACAGGCCCTTCGGCCCACGATGTTGTGCCGAGCTTTTACCCTAAACCTATCAGCCATATACCTATCTAATAGCCGCTTAAATGCCCTAAAGAGGCCGACTCCACTACCCTCTCCGACAATGCATTCCACACCCCTACCACACTCTTGAGTAAAGAACCTACCTCTGACATCTCCCCTATATCTACCTCCACTCACTTTAAAACTATGCCCCCTTGTAATAGCTACCTCCACCCAAGGAAAAAGTCTCTGGCTGTCCACTCTATCTATACCTCTGATCATTTTGTACACCTCTATTGAGTCAAAATTGAAATTGAAATCTATTGAAATAAGTTTTTGTTTAGGTTATTTCAAAAGTTGAAGAGCGTATTCTAACTAGCTGTGATTTCCTCTTGTTAGGAGTGAACTGTCAGGAATGAAATAGTATATGAATACTTTTACAGATGTATTTTGTTACTGTTAGGTGCAGATGTGTAATTAAAACTCCTTCACTTATCTCCAAAATATGTATTTATTAAAAAATTGAGTTTTTTTTTCTTGCCTTTGCAGGTCACCACTGCCTTTGCAGCTAACCTTAACATTGTGACTATTTGAATGTTGCTTGTGCTTCATTTGGAATTAGAATACAAGTGCTTCTAACGGGCAACTCACTGGTCCTGTGATCAAATATCTGCCTTAGGTTGAACTTGGAAGACTGAACAAAAACAAGTTGCTGGAAAAGCTCAGCAGGTCTGGCAACATCTGTGAAGGGAAAAAAACAGTTAACATTTCGGGTCCAGTGACCCTTCCTCAGAACTGATGGTGGCTGGGAAAACATCAGTTTATATGCAGAAAATAGGGAGGTGGGTGAGGTAGGGAGTAAACGATAGGATAGAGCCCAAAGAGAGAGAAAGACAGTTGGACAGACAAAGGAGTTGCTAACAATCAGGCTGGGAGGGTGAATAATTGTTAATGGGGACTGTTAGTGACTAACGGGGTGTGTAATGGCAGGCTATGTGGTAACAAGGCCTGGTGTGTGGGGTGGGGCCTGGGACATGAGCGAGTTTAGGTCCTAAAATTATTGAACTTGAAATTGCGTCCGGAGGGCTGTTGGGACCCCAAGTCGGAAATAAGGTGGTGTTCCTCCAGCTTGCTTTGCGCTTCGCTGGAACACTGCAGCAAGCCAGAGACACAGATGTTGGCCAGGGAGCAGGGTAGTGCATTAAAGTGGCAGGCAACAGGTAGTTCAGGGTCTTTTTAGCGAGCAGAACGTAGATGTTCTGCGACGCGCTTGCCAAGTCTACGCTTTGTTCCCCCAATGTAGAGGAGACCACATTGCGAGCAGCGAATGCAGTAGATTAGGTTCTGGGAAGTGCAGGTGAAGTGTTGCTTCACCTGGAAGGTATGTTTGGGCCCTTGGATACTGAGGAGGGAGGAGGTAAAGGGGCAGGTGTTGCACCTTCACCGGTTACAGGGGAAGGTGTCGTAGGGCTGTGGGGAGGTGTTGGGGGTGAAGGAAGTGTGGACCAGGGCATCCCGGAGGGAACGGTCCCTGCGGAAGGCAGACAAGGGAGGAGAGGGGAATATTTGTCTGGTGGTGGCATCTCGTTGAAGGTGGCGGAAATGGCGTCTGATAAACATAAGTTTTCGCATGAAAACCTAATTGTAGTGTTTGTTCTTTTAGGGAAGAAATTATTTGTCCCAACTGGGTCAGGCTTATGAGCATTTGCAGTCCAACAGTGACGATCACTTTTTAATTTCTCGCTGAAATGGCCTAACGTCACTCAGCTTCCTCTCTGGGGAGCTGGGAATGCTAATGAATTGTGGCCTACCAGTCACTGCAACATCCTGAGAATGAAAAATAAAAATTCCATGCAATTTAAACAGCTTTGGCTTATGCATAGCCAGAGCAAAATAAATAACTTAATGTTGTATTATGGCTTAGACTTTTCAATTATTCCATTTTATCTTTAGAGGCAGCCGCATCTTTTTGTGAAATTCTATTTTGATGAATTGCAAGGAATGACGTTTTCCAAATCAGATTGGATCAAGTTTCACTTTGCATCAATCTGCCTGATTTTCAATCCAGTATACTTAAAAGCTAGGGAAATGCAACTGGCAATTTTGAATTTTGCTTTAAGCCCATTCATAATATTTTCAAATTCACTGCCCCCAAAACTCCCCCACCACTTTGTCAAGTGTGAATACTGCGATTTGCTCATTTATTTTGAAGTTGTATAGTTTCTTTTCCCATAAGGTACACTCTTCATTATCCCTCACGTTGTCCTATTGCCCATTGATCCAAACTACAGTCTTGACTGTGCTGGCTTTGACAAATTATGTCACCCCAGCCGCACCCTTCCAGATAGGGCCAATAATGATAACACTGTTTCAGGTAATTTGGAACAATTCCTTAAGGGTACTATTTTGAATGGCTATTACTATTCTATTTGTAGGAGATAAAGTAAGGAGGGCAATTTTAGTGGAACTGTTCTGAAGAAGTGTCTAGACCTGAAACGTCAGCTTTCCTGCTCCTCTGATGTTGCTTGTCCTGCTGTGTTCATCCAGCTCTACACCGTGTTATCACAAACTTGAATAGGTTAGATTGTTGAATGGGTTGAACAAAGTGGATGGGAGAGAGGCAATGCCAATAAGATGGAACATGGGGAAAGAGTTCAAGCAACAGCAAATTATCAGATGAGAGTAGAAGGAGTTGTATCAAATTATGGTAATAGTACTCTTCACATTAATGTGTATAAAGATGTGTTGCAATAGTGCTTTTCATTTTGATTCAATACTTATTGTTTGAAAGTGCATCTATAATTATTAAAGATTCCCTTCTGTGTTGTTGAATAGATTTTTTTGAAATTTTAGTGAAACAATTGTGCTGTAATTTTGAAACTGATGGAAGTTAATTGTATTCAAGTTTAGATTAGTTCATGAGTAGCTTTTGGAACTTTAAGTACATGTCACATGTACCTGTGAGCAAACATCTGATAGTTGTTCCTTTTGTTTGGAACATTGTACACCAACGTGTGACAAGTAATTTATCAATAATTAATCACATTTCATCACAAAGGACTGCGTTTAGCTGGAGACTGCTTTCTTGGTATCAAATGTAATCTGTATCTAGGTCATTCATTTTGGGCAGTTGTACTATAAAATCAATTGTATGGTGTTTTTTTTTTCCCCCCAAAGTGTGGATTTTGGGTTAATCAAATTACGATATTGTTGGTTAACATTATGCTCTGTAGAGGTTTTACATGCAAGGCCATTTATTATTACAACAAAAGTATATTGGGAAAAAAAGTTTCTGCTTTGTTTAGCTGAGTAACAACGTTTCAAGTAGGGTGTTCATTTTCCTGTAATTACATTAGAGCAGCTGTTCAAGATCAGGATAATATTCAGTACATCTGTTCTATGGTCTGCTGTTTATTCACTCTTCCAAAAACAGGAAAATGGTAATGTGATGACAGGTCCCAAGAATAAGAAAATTGTTACAAGGGTTCCATGAAAGCTTTGCCATTTCCAATAAAACAAGTTGCTTGTATTGTGAAAAACAAAATTGTACAAAAAAAGACCCATGTTTTCATTTGTAAAATTCATTTCTCTTTTTTTTTTCCCTTTCTAATGTTGCCAAATTTTTGACTTTTTTCTTTTCAGGCTCGTTTTGAGTATGGCTCCTTCAATTATGGACTCTAGCCTGTAGATATTTTGCCAAATATCCATCGTTATGTAGGCCTAAATATCAGTATTTGATGAGTCATTACACTCAAACCAGTTGTTTTCACCTGACCCTGCTATGTATACTACTCAGTAGCTGGATTTTATTTAGCAAACTAACCCTAGCTGGTCTTTATGCTCCCCCGCCCTACCCTCTGCAACCTCTCATACTGTGCTGTTTTTTTTCTATTTTAGGTCAAATCTACTCCCCTGTGATATCTTGAGATATCTAAATGCTCTGATCATACCCAGAGCTGTATGGCAGTATTTTGGTTTTAAATGAACTTTTTCGCATGTGTTGAACCATATCTATTCCTTTTAAGTCAGATCTTTGACAGCAGAAAATCTTGGGCCAATTGATGTTGCTGAGGGATTTTCATAGGTTAAGCGGAGCTTTTTTTAAACAAAATTCTTTACCCTCCCGAGATTACCAGCACTTGCCCATGAGAAGATGGTGGTGGAATGCCACCTTAAGCCATGCGGTGAAACTACTCCCACAGTGTAGCCAGCATTTCAGAATGTTGAACCATTGAAGTTGCAGAGCAAGGAAGTGTCCAGGGTGCATGTAATTTTTGGCTCCAGGTCAGAAGAATATGACCTTTTGACACCCTGTGAAAAATATATCTGATGACTAGCGCTAAATTGTTTTTAAATTGACAGACTTGTTGGGAATCATAACTGATTGAAGTATTTTTGACGTTGGCTGATGATGCTGAAAATAAATTATTGAAAAGTCTTCCCCAGTCCTTGCTGGATATTTTAATTATAAGCAGCAACTACTAAATTCCCTCCGTACTATAATTGTGTCTGCCAGATGGACTAACTGTGTTAAATACGCTATGTGCTGTCCTGAATTACCATCTGTGGCAAAATTACATTTGACATAACTGCCATTCTTGAGCTGTCATGTATATGTAATGATTGCCTTGATACTCGAGTAATGACAGTTTACCCAGACACATACATACTGGAGGTGATAGATGAGCAATGAATACGCAGCCAAAGTTGTTTTGTATTTTGTCATGAGGTGAGCCAAATTAAATCCTCACTTTTTCAACAGAAAAGAGTGGAGTGCTAAGGCAGAGTTTTCTTTTTAAACAGTACATTTGTCACACTTTTCTGTACTCTGGGATGCTATTCCAGTATTTTTGGAATCACTGTTTTCCAGTTGAGATGTTAAACTGAAGCCAACTTTCCTGGTGCCACAACCAAACATTAATGATCTCATGGACTTGTTTTCATGTTCAGCTGGCCTTAAGGATGTATCTTTTGTGGCTTGGTGTTTCCTTCCCTGATGTTAGACATTTTCTAATTGACGTATTCAGAGATATTATTACAGACCTCTGGAGCAGTTTGTCTTGAGTCTAGGCCTCTGAACCTGATACCAAGTTGGGGGTGGTGGGGTTTCAGGTGTTGGTGAGCAGTCATGTCATCAAGCAGTCACCAAGAAGATTGAAGTATTCTTAAACAGCAAACCAGAAAATGGAAGCCACTCATCCTTCACTTGTAATTTTAAATTTTGGAGAGCAAGACTAAATGATTGGGATGTGTAGATCGAATTAAGGCAGAAGCTGAACGACCATAAATCTTAAAAAAAACACATTTTAGTTTTTTAATCAAATGCAGTTTGACATTTTACAAACATAGAACTTGTTTTTGGAGCCAGAAGTATTATTTCCTAAACTTGAGATATCTTTAACCATCTACTTGTGCCCATTTAAAGATTTTTATAGCAAGACAAAGAGCATTGAAATGTTCTTGCCGGTTAAATAATGTTGTCTAATTGAATGAAGTCTGGCTGTATTTCAGCACCCTTTGGAGAAGAGTAGAATCACTGATAGCAACCTGTGGATTTCTGCAATTAGCTGCGTATTCGTGGTCTCCAGAAATAGTTTTTTCTTAAATTACGGTTTGAGGAGTAATCAAAGTGCACACTAATCAGGTGTAGAGCTGGATAAACACAGCAGGAAGGCTGACGTTTCGGGCCTAGACCCTTCCTCAGAAATGGGGGAGGGGAAGGGGGTTCTGAAATAAATAGGGAGAGAGGGGGAGGCGGATAGAAGATGGATAGAGGAGAAGATAGGTGGAGACGAGACAGACAGGTCAAAGAGGCGGGATGGAGCCAGTAAAGGTGAGTGCAGGTGGGGAGTTAGGGAGGAGCGAGGTCAGTCCAGGGAGGACGGACAGGTCAAGGGGGCGGGATGAGGTTAGTAGGTAGGAAATGGGGGTGGGGCTTGAGGTGGGAGGAGGGGATAAGTGGGAGGAAGGACAGGTTAGGGAGGCGGGGACGAGCTGGGCTGGTTTTGGGATGCGGTAGGAGGAGGGGAGATTTTGAAGCTTGTGAAGTCCACATTGATACCATTGGGCTGCAGGGTTCCCAAGCGGAATATGAGTTGCTGATCCTGCAACCTTCGGGTGGCATCTTTGTGGTACTGCAGGAGGCCCAGGATGGACATGTCGTCTGAGGAATGGGAGGAGGAGTTGAAATGGTTCGCGACTGGGAGGTGCAGTTGTTTATAGTTGCAGTTGAATACACGTAGAATACACCTCCTCCCACGCACCTTCCTGCAAAAATGCCATCCCCTATTCCCGATTCCTTCGCCTCCGCCGCATCTGCTCCCAGGATGAGGCATTCCACTCCCGTACATCTCAAATGTCCTTGTTTTTCAAGGACCGCAACTTCCCCTACTCAGTGGTCGAGAACGCCCTCGACCGTGTCTCCCGCATTTCCCGCAACTCATCCCTCTCACCCCCTCCCCGCAATAACAACCAAAACAGAATCACCCTCGTCCTCACGTACCACCCCACCAACCTCCGGATCCAACGCATCATCCTCCGACACTTCCGCCATCTGCAATCCGACCCCACCACCAAAGACATTTTTCCCTCCCCACCCTTATCCGCTTTCAGAAGGGACCACTCTCTCCGTGACTCCCTTGTCCGCTCCACACTCCCCTCCAGCCCCACCACACCCGGCACTTTTCCCTGCAACCGCAGGAAGTGCTACACCTGCCCCTACACCTCCTCCCTCACCCCCATCCCAGGCCCCAAGAAGACTTTCCACATCAAGCAGATGTTCACCTGCACATCTGCTAACGTGGTATACTGCATCCGCTGTTCCCGTTGTGGCCTCCTCTATAATCGGGGAAACCAAGCGGAGGCTTGGGGACCGCTTTGCAGAACACCTATGCTCGGTTCGCACTAAACAACTGCAACTCCCAGTCGCGAACCATTTCAACTCCTCCTCCCATTACTCAGACGACATGTCCATCCTGGGCCTCCTGCAGTGCCACAACGATGCTACCCGAAGGTTGCAGGAACAGCAACTCATATTCCGCTTGGGAACCCTGCAGCCCAATGGTATCAATGTGGACTTCACAAGCTTCAAAATCTCCCCTCCTCCCACCTCAAGCCCCACCCCCATCTCCTACCTACTAACCTCATCCCGCCCCCTTGACCTGTCCGTCCTCCCCGGACTGACCTATCTCCTCCCTACCTCCCCACCTACACTCAGCTTTACTGGCTCCATCCCCGCCTCTTTGACCTGTCTGTCTCCTCTCCTCTATCCATCTTATATCCTCCTCCCCCTCTCTCCCTATTTATTTCAGAACCCCCTTCTCCTCCCCCATTTCTGAAGAAGGGTCTAGGCCCGAAACCTCAGCTTTCCTGCTCCTCTGATGCTGCTTGGCCTGCTGTGTTCATCCAGCTCTGCAGCTTGTTATTTCACAATTGAAATCCAAATTGTATTGTTTCCCTTTTAATGATCTAATTCAGATTCCTTTGTCACAACATGATGCTTTCAAGCTTCACTAAAATAGCAATGATTTAATAATTCACAAATCTAAATAACTCTAACCTCTCTAAACACAGTTTACAATTCACTATATTCTAAAAGATAGTTCAAGAAAACAAAGAAGGGTAAGCCACTCCTAAAAATAATCCTACAAAGTTTTTCCTGTGCATCTGGCTTCCCTTTTTAAATGCCTGTAACAATAGAATTACACAGGAAAGCCAAATTTAAAAAAAAAAATGAGAATATCGGTCAATGTTCTGTCCTGTAGCTGAAAAGCAAAGCTATGACTCCTGGTTACCTTGAAGTCTCAGAACAACCACTGCACTAATACTTTGTGCAAATGTTGAGTTAACTAACAAGCTCAATAAAACGTGCATTTAACAGAGAGAAATCAGGCTGCTCTGGTACAAATATAAGTATACAATACAGGAAGGAATAGGCACATATGTAGTGTAGTGAGGAAGGAAGTATGTCTGATGTTATGGGAAATGGGATACACAAATGACCATCACAGCTTCCCACCCTGATTTCCTTTGGATATACAACAAGAAAACAATCCAACAAGGATCAAAACAAAACAAAAAAAAACAAGGAATACTTACATTCTCCACAGCCTTCAGGCCATTTCTGAGACTACTGAATTCTTTTTCCAGCTCAATCAAACTACAAAAAAATACACATCTCTGATCAATGGACATGTTTTACAGAACATCTTCTCAATAATTAAAACTAAATCTTATTTTAAATTAAAAGCAAAGGCCCACTCCACAAGTTTAGTGAGTAGCATTTTGAAAACCAATTTTGGAATGGAAATCAGCTTTAAATTAGTGAAGGACTCACAATGCTTCAGCAAGCCAATCATCTGAGCTGTAGCTTGATTCATCACTTGTGAAGTTAGGCAAAGTTAATTGCTCTAAGACACATTCATTCATTCTTTATGTCAACTCAACTCCACATTACTCCATCAGCATTGCCAGAGGTCATAGCCTCTCCCACCTAGAAAGATCATGGCAGGTGTACAAAAACATCACCATCTAATGGTTTCCCTCCAAGCCATGCCTCATCCTAAAATGGGTCAAAATGTTGAAGCTCTACATATAACACCACCACTGAAGCATCTTCACCATATGGAGAGCAGTAGTTCAAGGCAGTGACTTACCATCACATTCTCGAGGGAAACTAGAGATAGGCAATAAAATGTAATTATGCTACTGGTGACAGAATTAAGATAAAGAATTTGCTTTTGCTCTTTTATCTTTCAAAAAATGGCACCTTGTCATGAGAAATGCAAGTTAAAAATAGAGAAAAGCAGGTAATGTGTTTTCACTTGCACAAACAAGAGACTGTAATATTTTAGATGAATATTTGTCTGAGATGACACTGTAGAATGAAAATAATGTTGCTCAGAACATTCATCTTTTAAGTAACATGGAAGGAAGAGTAACAAAAATTGATGCCATGCTGTCACTAGCACTTAGAAGGGGGCACAATTTCTGTCATTCTGTTAACAGCCTGATATATGAGAGAAAAAAAACGAAGAGGGTTCTGAAAAACACACAATGGCTATAATACCCATTCTTTAAATTTAACTGAAACAGATGATGGCTCAACCATTACTGAATTTTGTTATGACTTTTGATTTTACAAAGAAGGCATTGGATAAAGATCTCTAATTATGCAGCCACACATCTTGAAAACTTACTTTACTTTGGCTGCATCAGGAATGTTATGCAAGTCACCATGTATGGTCACCACTTTCGGGTATTTCTTCTCCAAAATTGTAATCAAATAGTGCAAAAGGGTAATGTTCCTTAAAAAAAGACATTAATTATTTTAAGCATTCAAAAACACAAAGCAAAAACAATCTACAGAATCAAAGACAGACCCTTACAAGTTGTATGGGATCAGCAGTCACAAATGGCTAAAAATCTTTTCAATTCTTCTCAATTTGGATGAAGTAAATTGTTTCAAACACAATTCCTCTACTGTATTTACCAATGAGCAAATGTTCCGAATAAATGGTGTACTTCCTTCTGGTGTAATTATCAATGCTAATTTAAATCAGTTCCCTTTCATTTCCAAAGGGTATTTGACAAGGTGCCTCAAAGACAATGGTGGAAAATAAAAGCTCGTGGTGTAGGGGGTAGTATATTGGCATGGATAGAAAAGTGGTTGGCTAACAGGAAGCGCAAAGTATATGTAAATGGTCTTTTCAAGTTGGCTATATGTGACTAGAGGCATGGTACAAAGATTGATGTTGTGTCGTCAACTTTTTATAATTTATACAAATTACTTATGATGATGGGACAAAAGATTGTCAGCAAATCTGCTGACTGAACAAGGATATGCAATAAAACAAGTGATAAAGAGGACACAATAAGGTTCCAAAAACTTCTTAACACGTTAGGTCAGTGGCAAGTGGAGCATAATATGGGAAAACGTAAAACTGTCCATTTTGGCAGGAGAATAAAATAAAAGCATGTTATCTAAATAGTGAGAGTCTGCAGAGCTCAGATGTGGAGGGATCTGATGTTATTTTATGATTCATGCATGAGGACAAGTACAGCAAGTAAATAAACTAACAGAATGTTATCATTCAAAAAAGAAACAAACAGAATTTAATCAAGTAGGGAGCTTACACTTCAATCATAAAGGTGAGATTACATCTGGAGAATTGGACACATTACTGGTCACCCTATTTAAGGATGCAAATACGTCTTAGAGGCGTAACGGAGGTTACCTGACTATACCTGCAATGGGCAAGTTGTGAGGAAAGACTTGATGGGCCAAATTGCCTAATTCTGCTCCTATATCTTCTGGTCTTATGGAAGGTTGAACAGGCTAGGCTTAAGAAGAGTAAGAGGTGACTTGATTGAAACACAAGATCTTGAGGGGTCTTGATAGGGTAGATTTAGACAGGGCGTTTTAGATTAGGCAAAATATTTTCCCTTAGAGGGTCATGAATACTTGGAGTTCTCTTCCTGAAAATCTGGTAGAAGCAGAGTACTTGAATATTGCTAAGCCAGAAGTAGATAAGATTCTTGTTAGCAAGGGGTTGAAAGATTATCACGTGTTGGGAGGAGTATGAATTTGAGTTTACAATCAGATCAGCCATGATCAGTCTACAGCAGACATTCAAAAATGGTGCCGCAAGCTAGAAGTTTTGGGTTCAAGCTCCAAAGCAGCAATTGCCACTGAGAAACTGAGTTGTAGCAGTTAATTCCTGCTCCAACAGATTGACCTCCATATTCATAAGCCTGCCCACCTCTCCTAGAGCTCCTTTATCACACTTGCTCTCTCCACAACACCCTGCACCCCCTCTCCTCATTCTGTCAAATCTCACTAAGAGGGCAAGATAATTTTCAAGCCTTGAAAGGGGGTCACAGTGGGGAATGTTTGGAAAGCACTGCTCAAAGGCTTTTTTTCCCCCACTTTTAGTGCAGCCTCTATAGCCAACAAACATAACAGAGTATATCAAAGATTTTTATTCTATCTAGATAATGTAATAAAGCGCTACATCTAAAGTTGACAGAACAGTAACAAACAATCTGATTTTGAATGAGCAATGTCAGTAATGTCTTACTTCTCAATACTAGACTTTGTGTCTGCGATTTTGTTGAGACTAGAGAGTTTGAAACCATAAGCATTGCCTCTTTGTCCCTTGTTCATGTAATTGCCAAAAGCTAAAACCACCTCCAGTAGCTGCAACAGATTTTTGCTTTCTAGAACTTCCTTGGAACTCGAAAGAAGAGCTGAAAAAAAAAATAAAATAAGGTCATTTTACTGAAACTGAGCCTGAGTTTACCTTATTTTAAGCCCAGCTACAAAATATTCAAAATGAAGTGGTCTAAAAAGTTGAAGTAACAAAATTCAAAAGCGGCTCAAAGCATGTTCTAATACCACCTTAAAAACACAAGATAATGCTTCACATGTCAATCAGCGAGATGACACTTATGGTTTTGCTAAAATAAAAGATTAAATCTATTCCAAACTGCATGAAAATTGACAGCAAAAGGAACTTGCTTTAAAAGGAGAATATTTTCCAACTTCCAATACAAAAGCTATTCAATAAGCTTCACAATAATTACATTAAATGTTGATTAAAGAATACACCTAATCAAAAATGTTATTTAGTAGAGTTTGAAAAATGGTAGTTGTACTCATGAGAAAAACAAAGCAATCCTTTAACTAATTTGACCCAGATAATTTTGTTACATTGATTAATCAGTTATTAGTAATTGAATCTACTTTACATAACAATCACACGCAATGGTTTGGAAAAAGTTGAAGCTGCATTAGCTCCACCCTACCTTACATCACAGTCTCTCCATCCAGAGACTGTCACTGATCTTTCAGGAGGTCTCAATGGAGCCAAACATGACTAACCTGGCCCTGGGTAAATTGCAGTCATGCCAAACTAGTTCAAGTTACTGGTGTCCATTGTTGATTGTATCATGCAATAAATTATACATTTTTTACGTAAGACAAGTGTCTATTCGTATTTAGGCTCTCTCGTGGTCAATCCTTTACCAATGATAATCAGTCAGGCTCATAGGCTCAAAGTAAGGAGCCAGGGTGCTCGAGTTTCCAGAAGCATGTCATAACATCTCCATATGATTAAAAAGTATCTATAATTAAGATCTGTTATTGATAGTCTTGAAACTCCTGTGGTGCAGTGCCAGTCCCCCTACTTCTAAACCAGGAAGATCAGATTCAAGTCCCTGTTTAGTTTCCCTTTGGTTTCAGTCTTAAAGGATGAAATAGGAAAGCACTGCTGTCAGATTCAAAAGGTGATTTCATTTGGTGATGACACAGGCAAAATTTATTTGGTGGTTTTAATGGCAAGGTGGTTGCACTACAATTCCAGAGTAAAAGATACTAAGTACTTCTTTAACAAACCTTTTTTTAAAGCTGTAATCTATTGCTCATCCAATGAAATTTTCCTATAAAGTTGGAAACAGTAAATTACCTAGTTATCGTAAGTTCCAGTGATCAGTTTAGCTCCCTACACGTGTAGGTCCACATTTAATGCTGCATAAATAATCTTGATGCAATAGTGAGAAAGTGGATTTTCATTTAGTGCTGCTAAGGTGATTCACTGGAGAGTTTGCTGTAGTAACATGGATAGGAAATTGATTGAATGACAAAAGATAGTAACAAGTGGTTTTCAGAATGGGGGAAGGTTTACAGTGAAATTACCCAGGGTAGATATTAGGGTTTCGGTTCTTTCTTAGTGCACATAGCACAATATCACAATTTGTGGACTATATTTGAAGCATTGTAAACTGTGCAGAGCTTCAGAAGGATGTAGGTTGTTGGAATGGGAGGACAAATGATAGATTATACTTAATGAAGAAAAGTAATTTATTTTGATAGGAAGAATGCACAGAGAATACAAGCCAAAGAGTGCAATTCTGAATTGGGAGCAGAGAGATGGGAATGTGTAGGAGTATAAATCAATGAAGCTGGCAGGGCTGGTTGAGAGAGTTGCCAGGCCTTATTGCTAGGGGCACAGAATACAAAAGCAATAAAGTTATGTTAAATCTCAATAGAACATTAACGTAGCCTCAAATGAAGTGCCATGTCTAATTCTGGGTGTTGCACTTTAGGGACAAATGAAAGTATAAAATGTTTCTTCAGAATAGCTCCAAGAATAAGGAGCTTCAGTTACATAGATCAGAGGGGTTGGGAATTCTTTCCACGGAGAAGGTTGGATGAGATTTGATAGAGGAATTCAAAATTACAATGATGGAAGGAACAAGAACCTGAAGGTACAAATTTTAAGGTAACTGACAGAAGTAATGGTGACATGAGGGAAAAGGATATGCCCAAGTGTAGAGAGACAGAGCGAGCGAGACAGAGCGAGGGGGAGCGGGAGGGGGAGTGACAGAGAGACACACAGAGACACACAGAGACACACAGAGACACACAGAGACA